CTTGCAATTGTGGACTAGTAAGGAGAATAGTTTTAAAATTGAATTGATGTTCCTTAGTTCCAAAACGTTCATCATAATATTTATCTATTGAAGCAATACTAGTTTTGTTATCGAATGTGAAGGTAATTCGTCTCTGAGATTCATTTGTAGAAATATGATATAATATTTTTTGGGAAAGAAAGTTTTTGGCTTTCTACTACTCCATCTGATACAAAAAAAAGAGATGAGAGAATTATTTTCTTTCGTGTAATTCAATGTTTATATGAAAGTAGCTGTTTCAGGAGGACTTTCTTTCAGTTTGTGTCTGAAAGTTACTTCTTTGCATGATCTACACATTCATGTATAGAGTTTCAAATTGATTACTTTCTTCCTTTCTTTGGAAGATTCTCTCATCTCTTTTTTTTTGTATCAGATGGAGTAGTAGAAAGCCAAAAACTTTCTTTCCCAAAAAATTAATCACTCCTAAAAATATAACCCCTTCAATTCATGATATGATAGTTTTTACGACAAGTACCAAATGCCCAAAAACTTTGATCTTGGTGCTGTCACTGCAGCTGCAGTCAGAGACCAAAAACGAATCTAGTTCGGCGATGCCGAAGCTTGACTTTGCAACAGACCGCCTTGAAGAGCCTCAATCATCTTCGATATTCGAAGAATGAACCTTCTGTCGATTCCAAAGATGGTATTTTCATCGTTGTCCACTCGAACTTGTTTTTAGGGAATTTTAGGGCAATGCTTAGCACGTTTTATGAGACTTATGGTGGATCAAAAACTTTTTTCGCTCTGGTTTCAACTCTAAGAAATGTTAGTTTTTCATCAAAAACTTGAAAGTGAAAGTATTTTGGAACACTATATTTGACGTAATTTAAATCATCGGTTCTCATTTCCTACGTTTTTATTGAGATTTCTTAATACTGAAAAACGATTTTCACATATAGATATCTACTTCATTTTTCTTAATGCATCTTCATTGGGTCCATAAACAACTATTATTAATCTAAATAACTGATATCTATTTCATTTTGTTGCTACCAAAAGAATTTGTATTTTCTTCTCTTGGTACATCTTCATTGGGTCCATAAACGACTATTATTACTCTAAATAACTGTGAATATGGTCCTGGAACGGCAGTCCTTCATTTGTACATCGAATATCATTCGAGTTTATGATGGGTCGAATTTTGTTTTCGAACAGAATTCATAAAATTTGTAATTTATGAGTAGGTACAACTGAATGGAGATATTCATTAATTTGATAAAACGAGAGGAAAGTTTTCCACTATTCAGTCTTTGTTTTCAGGTATCCCTACCAACATAAACATATTTGGTGAAAAAGATGAAATACAAAAAAAACTGGAGATTATTCAGAATGTATGCTCATGTAGTTTGAGTCACGTTCAAATTGATTCATTCTTTTATTGAGAGAGTCGAGAGAATTTTGTACCTTGAGAATTTATTCAAAATATTGTGAACATTTCACTTCACTTTCCTTCAACCAAAAAAACGGTTAGACCTCAAATTAGTTGTCAAATTCGAAACTTGTAGCCGATATAACTAAAAAACAAATGGATTATATAACGTATACAACTTTGAAGAAAAATTTATATCACCTAACTCGAATGTTCTAAAAAAATTAACTTATGACTATAATATTAATTTCACAACAAAAACAATAATAATAGAACTCATACTGATATCTCTCCTGAACATTTCAATGACTTCTTTGTTAATATTTCTGACAATATCATTCATTCTCTACCAACTGTATGCAAAGCGGATTTACTGAATTTCAGAAATTTTTAGTGACTAAAGAAGACGTCCAAAGTGCAATTAAGTCACTCAAAAATTGCAAATGTTCAGACGCCTACGAACTAAATGGTAATAACATCAAAGAGACCTCCGATATATTATTTCAGCCTTCTTCTAAATTGATAAATGTAATATTCACAAATGGTATTTTTCCTGATGTATTTAAGATATCAAAAGGAGGCATTTCTCTTTTTATTTCAATAATACGTAACCTTCTTTAGCAAAATCATTGAGAATATTATTAAAAAACGTCTTTACGCATATTTTGAAAAATATTAATTATTTAACGAATCTCAGTTTTGTTTTCGTGAGGACCGCTCTATAGCAGAAGCAGTTCTCAATGTGGTGAGTGAAGTTGTCGGCAATCTTGATCAAGATAACCACACAGCTATTACGCTCTGCGACCTCGGCGTTCGACATATTATTGAAGAAACTATTTCATCATGACGTCAGGGGAGTATCTCTATTTCTCATGAAATCATATTTGTCAAATAGATATCAAGTATTCAGTAGCAATAATTGCATTTCGTAGTTCAAACTTGTTGAATATGGTGTTCCCCAAGGATCACTTGGGAGTACTTCTGTTTATAATTTATGTGAGTGACATCAGTAACTTCACGAATCCATATACTCTGACAATTTTGTCAGAGTATATGGAGTTCGTGACAAATCGACTCAAACTCAGCAAGCTCTGCCGCTATATCAAGTGCAGACAGTGATATATTACTTGGGTTAGTTGTCGATATTACTTTCACTTGTTCATTTGAGCAAAAAACTATCTAGAACAATTTTTTATTGCGTCAGTTGAAAAATATAACTAGTTTCGATACATTGAAAAAAACATATTTTTCCTCTTCTATTTTCACATCAGCTATGGTGTTATAGTCTGGGGTAACTTAACTGGGGCTTTAAAAATGTTTCAACTGCAAAAAAAGCTCTCCGAATAATAACTATCTATCTCTTGTTATACAGAGCATTGTCAACCTCTGTTTTCAAAATTGGAAATAATGCCGTTACCCACATTACTTTTGTACAACGTTCTCATAGAAATTCATAAAAAATCAACTTCATTAATGTAGCAATCAGACCTTCATGGCTATGATAAAGGACATTGTAACAAAATTTGAACAAACCGCTTCCTTTGAGTAAATCACAAAACAACACTCTAGATTTCAATCTCAATAACTTGTTAAGGTTTCAAAATCACTAGCTTAATTTTTAGTACACCCTAGTCTTCTTATCTTTGCTGGAATCGGCAAATTCACAAAGTTTATTTATAAGATATTGTCTTTTTCTCCAGATAATTCATCTGCCTTTGATGACAGTTCATGTCATTCGACATTTCGAGACTTCAGAAAGAATTTTAGGCCTTCATTTTCCATTTACCTGTTCGTTGCTAACTGATACCGCCCTTAAAATTTCCCCGACATTGAGAATAGCGGTTGACGAATCTCCACTTTTCGGACACGTAGATGACTCACCACTGTTGTAAGCGACATAAGAGCGGATGACCGTAAGCTTCATGTCTCAAAGAAAGTAATATTGTTCCTTTATATCGATCATTTGGGTCTGAACGGAACGCATTGGTATCACAGGAGTAACACTACCAAAACTGTCAGCGCTACTGCGGAACCCACTTCATCTAGTTATAGAGGACCTACTTTTACTTAGTTTCGATTATATTAGTTTAGTGTATTGTATTGAAATTTCAAAACCTTTTCTCAGCTACCTTTGAACAATTTTGAACCGATGGTATGCATATTAGAGGGTAGATAATTCATCAGTTGAATTATACAACGAGGAAAGTATTGTGACAAAATCCTTCATTTTGATATAATTTATTTTACCTTGTGAATGAATCAAATTTTGTAGATTGGTCACAGAAGTTAGAACTGACAATCTTTGTTACAATTTCCTTCACCTTCTATCATTGTTAAAAAAATACCTGTCTTTCTTTATATTTGACCGACGCTCTCATTCCCATAACTTTCATCAATAAAAGATTCGCAAATTAGTTTACTACTTTCTTTATACCCACTCCCGTCTCCACTGTTGAAAAGCTGGTAGGGCATTTGAGGAGGTAATAATTTATCTTTCCGATAATTTCAAAATTCTTAGTATGTCCAAATTAAAAAAAAACAATAAAGAAACATTTTTTGTCAAAGAATACGTGAATCATTTCAAATGTTTTTATACTATTTTAATTGTATAACTGACCATTACTTTCGTGCTATTTTTTGACTTGCTACAAACATTTTATTATATAATGTAGAAGAACAAATTATCTATCTGTCTATATATCTATAATGAATCTGACTCGTCAACAGACTCGTCTAGCAACAGATTCGATTAATGGATAGAAATAGTAATCGCTGCAGTCTAGTCCGGCAAACTGTTCTTTTTTCTTTGGAAGAATCGTGCTTTAGGCGAAATTATAAATTAGATGATATAGGTTCTGCTTTGCGGTAGATGTAGCAATCCGGATTAGTAACCTGAGACAGGGTTAAAACTTTAAAATATGTTTATGAAGCATGTTCCGAAAGTTATGACTTTGCTCCATTCAAGGAAAGTTGAGCATATTGACGGAAACGAAAATATTTTGGACGAACATCATTTAAAATCTTGTTTGGAGTCATTATTATACCCTGCCTTCGGACGGTTTATATTAGATTATGCCTCAGTGAACAAAGCTTCGACACAGCATTTGCAAGACCACGGTTTAGCTGACTATTCGTATATTCTTCATTATACGAGGCATAATAACTTGAACAGCGAATATTCCTTTGTCAAAAACCATGTTCTAGAGAACATATATTGTTCTTTTCTGTAATTATTGTTATAGTTTTTCCTTCTGTTCATTTTATTGTAATTTTTTTTTATAATCCTGTCAATTTGGTTCTTTATTTTCCTGTCCATTTGAGGTAAATGACAAAGGTTACTTTTAATGATTTCCGTTATTATTTCCTGAGGTTACTTAGAGATTAGGCTTGCTTTCCTGGAATCAAGAACGGAATCGTCAAGAAATGTTCTCTCATAGGTCAGAACGCAGTCGAATATCTCTATTCGGTGAATAATATTTTCTTTGTGCATGCAATGGTGAACCCACTGAATTCCTGAAATAAAAAATATTTTTGAGTCACTGTCAAAATCATAATGAATGAAAATGATCATCCATGGTATCTTTTGTTTCAGGACACGAAGAACATCAGCCTGGACGGGGAAGAGAACGGCGAAGTGGACCACGAACAGGATTTCATCGAAAACGGTCGAGACGGCCTAACGGGCACTCCGGACTCTGCGAATTCTCGCAACGACAAAGAACTGGATGACCTAATGTATGTCGAAACGGCCCCCAAGACTTGCATAATGCATGCGTTGAGCATTGTTAGCGCTCCTGCTTCCCAGCCCGGATCTTCGCCGCCGCCCCTGGCAGCCGACGCGCCTCTCACCGAGAATGGGGACGGGTGGAAGCCCCAAGGGCATACGACTAAGTTGGAACAGCAACCCTATTAGTGAAATCATTTCGCTGGATGACTACGTTATAGGCTGAATTAAATATATATTTATATCGTTATTGAGGCATATCTTGTTTACTGTCCGATCTAAATTCATAGTTTTCACTTCGTTCAATATTTGATGGGGGTTTGCCAACTTGTTGAAGTTCATTTACGTAGCTGAGTCAACTGTTGGTCAACTCATCTGACTAGAGACTTATAGTTTTTTGATTATTACATTTACTGATACCAATATCTTCATTATTTTTTCAAAATGAATTTTTTCATGAGAAAACAATTCATTAAATTTTTCCAAACCATCTAGTATCTCATCTCATTCACAATCTCATTTTTCAAATTCACGATTTATTTCGTGATGTATGTAGCCGTCTACGACGATAGTATTTACATCCAACTCTAAGTCACATTGTCTGCTCTTGGTGAGATATAAAAAGAAGATAGACGAAAAATACACCTGACCTAGTTTTGAGACTACTCTGGAAGTAATTCAGATCACGGGATTTCTTTTCAAAATAATCAAATCGCTATTTCACAATTACTAGTTTTTACTGAAAAATATTGGCAGAATCGGGAAACGAAAATTTCACCATAGAGATTCACGTCATGCATCAATGTTTCTCACTCTACATATAGGGTCGACTGGGTACGGTTGAAACAATTTAGCTGTGAAACAATACAGACTCATAGAAACAGAGAAGAACTAGAGAAGATCCAACACAAAGAATATTACCTGATGTAACCCAAATACAGGCAAATTTACCTGAAGCACATGAATTACCTGCACTGAGGTGTCCCAAGCCATGGGCGGTTGAAACAGCGATTGGAGTCAGTTGAAACACATACAAATATTTCAATTAATTCTAATGAAACATGATCCATGTATCATTAATGCTAATTATACGAATAATTGTGGCACTACATGACAACAATAATCAATCTTCAAGATTTCATCACTTCCAAAACATCAGCCTTTTACTCGTAGTAAACATTTGAAGAAATTACAAAAAACGATAATGATTTCGGAATAAACTTAACGAAAACATTTTTTAAAACAAATATATTTTAAAAATCAACTAAATGAAAGACAAGTCTGAAATTATATAAAGAATAATAATAAAATTAACATTCTGAATAAATAAAAAGAAAACGTTTTTTGAATCAAATAAACATTCAAACTGAACTAAAGAAAACACTTCTTGAATAAAAGAAACACTGAGAATTAACTTAAGGAAAATATTCAGCTTAGAGATTAATCAGAATCGCAATTGTGGCAAACATGAGACTACATGAAGTACATTGCATGAACTTTTCTTCGGATGTGCTCTCTGAATATGGTGCTAAGGAAATTTCCTCACCTCACCCGAATTCTCGGCATCTACAAAAAATGAACATTAATATATTTCTGTTTCAACCGAACCCACAAAAATGTTTCCACCGTCCCCAACTCCTCCATTGGTAAAATATACTTTATAGTTACGACAGTTATAATAACACATTGACAATAGTCACTATCCTTTATTCTTCAAGCGTCATAACAATCACAAACACACACTCAATACATTCACTTAAAAAAAATAATATGTTCAAAATCTTAAAAAGGACAGATAATATAGACGTTAATTTCAGAAAAAAAGGCTTACTTTTGGGTAATAAAAATCAATATGGGGTCCTGCACACAACAAAAATGCGCGGGAACAGACATGGCACTGAATTCGTGTTTGGACATGTCGTCCGCTTCGTTTTCCCCTTGCACCCCTCACTTTCCGCGTAACCGTTCACAAGATATTTGTTATTTTTCAACCGTCCTCAGTCTGTCATCTAACAGCTTCCACGTTTCATTATGAATATCTGTGAACATTTTCAGCAAACAACCCCAAACACCACAGATTCCACCATCACACTAAAAAATAGTATCATTCAATTTGAACGTGTTTGACAATGTTTTCAGGTGAATGATAGTGTTTTGAACTTTCATTGTCCAGAATGAGAAAAAAGTCAATAAAATATTAAAAAAGCTTACTACCTGAATATCCGGATGAGTTGGTTAAAAAATAAAACGATATCAAAAATATTGTGACCAGAAATGAAGGTGAATTAATTGAGGTGTTAAACGATAGTAAAAAAGGTACAAACATCAAAACTAATGAAACTAAAAAACAGAGAGAAAACAATGAAAATAAAAAGGGTAAGACATATATTTGACATATTCGTTTGTTTCTTGAAAATTCAGTCATAATTGATCGACTCCACAAGTCTGTATACTGCTGACACCAGTTCACTTTTCCAGGTTTGATTGTAACTGGCTGAAACTCATCATTTAATTAATGAAGAAAATTGTCTTTAAAAAATCTTCAGCATACTAGATTATCAAATATAAAGGGTTATTTTTCTACCAGAAAAACCAGGAAATAAAGTGACCATATAAGGGAGGTGCCCTGGGAGAATGAAATCTTGACAAAAAAATATAATTCACAATTTGAAAAAGTTTATTATCCACAAAAGTATTCATTCAATTACATAATATATAAAGTGTAGTTCAATTCATAATAGTACACATGAAAATGCTTTTAGCCCCTTTGTCTCAATGAAATTGTCTATACTCGTACACCACATAGGATAATTTGTGAATTTTCTAAAATTTCCGAAAAATATTTCAAAATGAAAAATTAGAAAAATAAGATATTTGAAAAATAATTTTGATAGCTTTACTTTTCTGACATTTGACTATTCCTGTGTTTTAGATTACATTCGTTGTTGAAAAATTTTCATGAAGAAATAATGAATTGCTTATTCGATGTTTTTGTTGAATTTTGACGGTTTCTCCAAAGTCAACTTGCGTTCAGACCAAACCAGGATACAAGCTAACATTATATATTGTACAATACTCGTATGACAATTCAAAATAATCCAAAATCTAATCTTTCTGTTATATTTTCAATGACAAATCTCATTAAAACCACCCTATACTTTTCAAAAATTAAAATGTTTTGTACTTCAACACAGAATTGGAACATATTGGACCACTTCATTAGAAAGAGTCACAAAAAAAAACTAATTATGTGGTAAGGGATCTCATATAAATTAAAAATTGTGCGCGTATGCTCCTAATGAAAGGCCTGTACCTTTTTAAATCATCTACACTTTCCTGTCAAGGTGTCCTTTTCCGAATAATTGAGCTGCTTCTCTATTAAGAAATCGCTAGTATGATTTTCCCAGATGTTCATAAAAAAATTGTTCAAAATGTTTCTCACCCGAATGAATACATTTATGAATACCCATGTTGCAATTTTTTTATTTTGAAAAAACAATGAGGATATTATCAACTGAACCTAGGGCACCAACGAACTAAGTTCTTTTTGGAAAATTCCAAGAGTCCAAATCGAAAAGCTCACATTTCTGGTCAAATATTGCATGAAGTGAACTATACCCCAAATTTTATTTCAACTTGTTATGAGAGTGAAAAATGTTATTCAGAATGATTTTTCAACAATATCAAAAACCAATAATTTTCGAATGATGCAAACTAGTCATGAATGTATTGCAGGAAGAGACGTTTGATTTATGAAAAGTGAGAAATAAAACTTTGTTTTTTACCACTTTCATTTGTAACTGATGTTACTGCAGTTTCGTCTTATAAGAACATTTTCAAAACAATTACAATAAACTGAAAATAAATCCTAATGTTAGCCCTACCTGAGTACCTGAAATGTGTCTATCTGTGATAATGTGGACAGGAAAATTTGGTGGTGTGGACAGGAAAAATGGTGAGTAAACTAGATGGATTTAAATCATTTAGCAGATTACATCCGCAATGGGGGTTTATCCCATATCAAATAATCAGAAATCAAGAAATTTATAACTCTAATATAACAGAGACAATTGCAGGTTTATATAATCTTCTTGGGGTTATCTAATTTTCTCTTGAATGTCGAAGATTAAGTGGACAAGAAGAAGAAATCTGGAGTATATAAGCTTAAGTGTCCGGAGTGTAATAGTGGACGAAATTTCTCAAAACGGTATGCTGGACATGAAAAGTCTTTCAGACTAGGTAAAAATGATTCGAAGTTTTCAAACCATTCCTTTGAATGCAACCATGAGTTCCCAAATCTACGATACGAAAATTTTGCACAATGCAAGGAAGGGTTGGAAACTGAATTATTTAGAATATTTGGAAATTCATAGGCATAAGCATTGTGGATGTAATCTACTCATGTAAGTTACTCATGTAATTTACTCATCAGTTTTCAACTTAGCGTATCCTCATTGTCACAGGTAAACAAATTTCAGGTACTCAATTAAGTTAAGGACATCTATTATTACCTACAGTAGCTATATAAGGGCTATAACATGACGTATTTTCAGTTTATCGTAATAGTTTGAAAATGTCCTCATAGGAGGAAACTGCAGTTACAAATAAAAATTGTAAAAAAAGAGAGTAAAAGAAAGATTCGTTTCTCATTTTTCATGTTGATCTCATATCAAGTTTTCTACATCCATCAATTTATTGACGTTTGATTTGTGATTTGTTTATTTCTCATGTAGACAATATTTTTGGCTCTTACCATTTTCTGTTTCCACATCAAAATATTAAATAGTGTTTATATAACGTATCAATCATCAGTTGGTTAAACTATTCTCAGATATTAATTCATTCAAAAACTACTTCCATTACGGAACATAATATTGAGTATTCAGTTTGCGTTTTCGAATCCAAAGAAAATGAAACAATCAGTAGTGTATTCAAAGTGAATTCATGAGAAGATGTATGTATTCATAAATACTATTTTCAGCATTCAATGAGTTTGAGTAGCAATTTATGGAAAAATACGTTGGTTTCATTAGAACTCTGTGTTATAATTTTGAAGCCCCTTGAAAATGTTAGCGAATCATCATGTATATATTTTATGTAAAGATAAAAACGGACATATCATGAATAAATACAAATTAGAAATTCATTGATTATTTTGTAAAATTTAAAGAATATTTAGAAGCGGTGTCAAAAATAAAAATATGTAGATGTTTTATTGAATTCTTGCAAGTAGTATCAGTGTAGCAAATGCTGTTGAAATATAATAATGTTCGGTTGAAAACCAAAGAATGATTTAATTATGTTTTCTTGATATTCATGGAAACTGGCGTTAATTATAAAAATTCTTGAATTTCCATAGTTTGAATAGAATATTGCCAAATTTATTAAAATAATCGTTACAACAGAAATATTTTGATTGTAAAGATTGTTCAATGCAATAACAAGGGTTGTTTGCCAGTAGTGGTTACTAACACCGTAAGGTGTGACAATTACATCACACAGAAATTTTTTTCGAGTTCGTGTTTGATAGTCTTCAAAATATTACTGTTGTAGTTAACAAAAAAATGTCATGACCTGTGTTCTGCTTTTATGGGTTTCGAGATATTCAGGTGAATTTTAATATGAGGATATTAATGTAAGACCAATGTTCCCAACTTTACAATCATTGAATAAGTATGTATAAAATCTGCCTTGTGAAATACATTATTTTTTAGCTTCATTTTGTAGTGTCGCTAATAATGTTATATACCTCTATATATATGTAAGGTAATCTTGTAATGTAATAGTCATTGGTAATATATGTCCTCCATTGTATATGTGTGTATTTCTTCCAAAATTCCTCAATATTTATCAAAAACCTGAAACCTGGGCAAAAATTCACAAGGTGTAACATAAGTATGTTAAAATATTCCAAGTGACGTATTCCCAAGACAATTGTTAAAAAACAATATATATATATATATATATAT